CCTCCCATTTGTCTCGATCCTGTCTGAAAGCGGGGAAACTCTTTTGATTAAGAACAAGGCTGCCCGCACTGGCGCGGCTCAGGGGTGACGTCACACGCAGCGTCGTGCGCAGTGCCCTAGCGTCTGTAAATTTAATGGTCCAATGAAGGTAATTTAAAAAAAACAGGACATTTCCTCACTTTCTAAAAAAAACCCGGGACGCCCAGGACAGGACGTGAAATACGAACATGTCCTGGGAAATACGGACGTTTGGTCACCCTAGTTTATTCCTCTTCACTGGTTGATGATTTTGTTGATGGTGTTGCTAGTTCTCTGCGTACTGCCTTAGACACGCAGCCCTTTGAAAATGAAGAACTTTAAAAATAGAAAGCTGGCTCCCTGGTTTAATACAGAGCTGTGCACTCTGAAGCAAAATGCTAGGAAAATGGAGAAAAAATGGCACTCAGTATGCCTATGGGAATCCCACCTAGTCTGAAAAGATAGTTTACTGCTGTACAAGAGGACCCTTTGCAAAGCAAGAGCAGCATATTTTTCCTCATTAATAGAGGAGAATAAGAATAATCCTAGATATCTTTTTAATACAGTTGCCAAACTCACCCAGAGCCATAACTCTGTTGAACCATCTATCCCACCTGCTCTTAACAGTAAAGATTTTATGGGATTCTTTATAAATAAGATTGATTTTATTAAAAATAAGATCGTTAGCACTCCTCTAACTATGATTGGTTTATCTCTGAAGGGTGAGGCAGCATCTAAAGGTAGCCATAGAGTCTGAACCAGGTTTAGACTGTTTTGATCCAGTTGAACTTTCAAAGTTAGCAAAACTACTAAGAACCTCAGTGAGCTATTGCTGTCCAGCCCAAACCTGGGTGCATCTCTCCTGGGTGTCCTACTGCGGTTCAGGGAACATTCCATTGCTGTCAGCAGTGACATAAAGGGAATGTTCCATAAAGTGAGGTTGCTGCCTGAGGACCGCCCTCTGCTGCGCACCCTCTGGCGTGATCTACAGAGAGACTCCCGTACACTCATTAGGAGTGTATGAGTGGCAAGTCCTTCCATTCGGGACTACTTGTTCCCCATGCTGCGCCATATATGCACAACAGATGCATGTATATGATCACATCCACCCAGAGGATGCAGTGTGTAGGTCCATCGAGAACCACTTCTATACGGACAACTGGCTACAGAGCTTCCCTAACCCAGATATAGCCAGAGATGTCGTAGACCAGCTGAGAGGACTGTTACTGGAGGGAGGCTTCGAGCTGCGACAGTGGGCTAGCAGCATGCCAGACATTATTGGTCACTTGCCTAAGGAGATCAGATCAGAGAGTAGCGAACAGTTGCTAAATCACACCAACATGGATCCGTAAGAAACTGCCCTGGGGCTGCGTTGGTTATGCCACTCAGATGTGCTGCGGGATAAATCACAGCTGCTGGAGAGCTTCCCTGTAACCATGCTGAACATCTACAAAGTATTGGCCAGCCAATACGATCCCATAGGGTTTCTCACGCCCTATACTACAAGGGCCAAGGTGCTTATTCGGCAGTTGTGGGAGACGAAGCAGGAATGGGACGACCCTCTGATGCCAGGTGAGTTGCTCACAGCGTGGCAAGAATGGGAGAACGAGTTACAGTACATGGACTGCATTAGTATGCCTCGCTGCTACGTTAGTCCAGCCATGGACCATTCAGCCTTCAAGCGAGAGGTCAACATTTTCTGTGATGCATCTCAGCGTTCGAATGGCAGTGTGGGATATCAACGCACAGAAGACGCAGAGGAGCATGTGGAGGTGGCTTTCCTGACAGCTTGGTCCCGAGTGGCCCCCAAGCACCAGCTCTCCATGCCACAGTTGGAGCTGTGTGCTGCACTTACGGGTGCACAACTTGCAAACATGCTGTGGTGATGTGGACAGACTCCTCAACTGTTCTTTCTTGATCCAGTCGGACTCTTGCCACTTTAAGGTGTTTGACGGAGCCCCTATTGCAGAAATTCAAGAGCTGACTGATAGACATGCTCGGCGCTACGTAGAGACGTCAGAAAACCCAGCGGATGACCTTACCCAGGGAAAGTCACCGAAAGACCTCCCAGAGGACCTCAGGTGGCTGCCGTTCCTGCGGCCAGTGCATCCAGTCGCGACGAGTGAAGAAATCACTGAAGAGTTGCGAAAGTCCACAACCTGCCCTGTTAGTACAGTAACCGGCACCCACCATTCCACACCTGATGCTCAGGAGTTTAGCGCCTTTGGTGAACTGGTGAAAGCCACCGTGGAGTACCTTCATGGGGCGGCTGCTGATACTAAAGGGACTCCCACAGCAGAGGAGTTCAAGAAAGAAGAACTCAGAATCCTGCAGTCAGCTCAAAGAGACAGCTTTCCTGAAGAAGTCCAGTTTCTGGCAGCTGGGAAACAAGTCCCTTCCTCCAGTTGCTTAATTACGCTGGCTCCAGAATATGACACATCTGTCCAGCTTATACAGGTTGGAGGTCACCTGAGGGGTTGTCAGGAACTGGAGAATGATGTTATTCACCCTATAGTCCTTGACCCGAGAGATGCTGTGACTAAGCTGCTTATCCAACAGGTTGACCATTATCTGAAACACCCTGGGGCAGAGCGACTCTTTGCAGAGTTGAGGAGGTAGTTCTGGATCCTTCGGGGCTGTGAGGCTATAAGAAGAGAACAGTGCTCATGCCCTGACTGTCAGAGATAGAGAGCCCAACCTGTCAACCCCAAAATGGCAGACTTACCCCCTGCAAGGCTCAGGCTACACAAACCAGCCTTCTACTCTACGGGGATTGACTGTTTTGGTCCGATGCAGGTTAAAGTTGGCCGACAGAATGAGAAATGCTGGGGCTCTTTAAATGCCTCATGATGAGAGCTGTCCATATTGAGGTGCTGTCCACCATCAACACAAACTCCTTCCTGATGGCCTTGAGGAGGTTCATATCACACCGGGGGAAAATAAAAGAGCTGCCCTCGGACCAGGGCACACATTTCAGAGGTGGAGATAGAGAACTACAAGAAGCCTTCCAAGCCCTCCATCCTACCCTCCAAGCAAAGCTGGCAGAATACCAGATCAAGTTCCGCTTCAACCCACCTAGCGCCCCTCACCACGGTGACTCCTGGGGGTGGGAAAGCTCTAACTGCTACCCTGGGCTCACAAGTTGTCAGTGGAGAAGTACTTGCCACCATCATGATTGAAATTGAGGTTAGCCTCAATTCCAAACCCCTCGATTACGTGTCATCGGAGGTAGCAGACTTGAAACTGGTGACCCCTAATCTGTTGCTGATGGGGTGGCAATACCTCACCCTACCCCAGGCAATATACCACAACTCAGAGAGGCTCAGCCGGCGGCAATCGAGAGCCTGTCAGGTGCTTTGGGATTGCTTCTTAGTGCAGTTCCTGTGCCACTACTTGCCCACATTGCAAACCCGGTCCAAGTGGCAGTCGGACAAATCCACTCTTCAGCTGGACATAGTTGTGATGATCGTCGACCCTCAACTGCCCAGAGCATCATGGCCTGTTGGGTAAATCAAGCAGGTGTTCCCTGGAGCCGATGGTCTGATTCGCACAGCGAAGGTTGAAGTTCGTGACCACACTTATGTCCGACCTGTGAGCTGTCTTATCAGACTCCCTGCTATACCAGAGGAGAATTAACAGCGATAGACTGGGTATGACAAATTTGCTGGCACAAATTTGGGGGCGGCTGTTCTGAAGGCTGCATACCTTAGCTGGGGACTTGGGAATATCAAGCCACTAGGGGCGCAATCGCGCTCAATCGGGCTGAGTGCTACTACTATGAGAAAGTGAAGAAGAGACTGACGACGGTGAGATGGGTTTATTGCAAGTAGCAGGTTGTGTTTGTAACATTCTATCCATTGCTCTGCCGCTTTTGGTTCAGTGTGCATCCAGAGAAAGATAAGTTATGTTGTTTATTTGCTGGACGTAACATTACCATTGTATATTGAACCTGTTTAGGCTGACTGGTTGAGTTTATATCCAGTGCTACAGTTCATATTTCTAGCGGTAAATTGCTATTTATCTCGGATGGTTTAAATGGTCATTTATATTATATTTATGCTACTGATCATTTCCTTTGTTGTCAATATAGGACATATATTAATATTATTTCATTTGTGTGCTATTTTGAAGTTTATTGATAATTGCTATTATTTGGGTAATTCCAGAACCACACTGGATTAAGTTGCCATAAAAGGACTGATTGTCTCCATCATTTTTATAAGTCTTGGAAGAACTTAATGTGTTCTGAAAGATGCACACTTCGTGATTACAAATCACAGAAGCCAGTCTATTACCTTTGAACCTCTGGTACACCCATTGTTGGATAGCATCATGTCAAAAACTACAGCAAAGATTTCAGTATGTATGGTTGAACACTTCTAAAGTTTTGTTTTTGAATCATTTAAATATTTCCAATCTTTACATGTTTATTGAAACGAAGAGAGGAAGACAAAGTCTTTTGTCCTATTTTAAAATGTATGTCTGCTTCTGAAAGCGTCTGTATTTTATTAACACTTCTCTAGTTTATTCTCGCCTTCAGATTAATAACTGTGTATGATATACTGTATCTGCATCAGAGGTACATTAAGCTTTTTTTTTACATTAGAAGCATACTTTGTATTTACAATTATTAATAGAACACATAGAATGGATATTTCTCTAATACCTGGACTACCATCATTGATAATTGGAGGACATTTTCCTCTGTGATTAGCATATAAACCTTTAGAGAGCTATTAAGCCTCAGGTGAGGCTTACTTGGAAAAATTATCATTTACTGTGAAAAATTCTTGTTAAAAAAAGAGGAAATTCCAAGGTTCCAAACGTATTATTTGCCCCTTTCAAATAATACATTCTCAATAAACTGAGAAAAGAGAGAAAAAGAACATTATAACTGTAATTACTTGCTCTCTTTGGCACCACAGAACGCACCTCAAATGCATCATGAACTTTGTACAGACTTTTTTTTGTATGGAGGGAGGGACCTACAGTTGATCTTTTTCACTCTCTGTGAACAGCTTTCAGTTCTCCGGGCTGAGTTCACTAAAATGGCATTTTTCCACCTAGTTTTTGGTTTGCTCTGCAAAGCCCTTCTTGTCCTGTTCTCTCTCCTCTTCATTGCCTTTCTGGGTTACTGCTTGTACATTAAGTACATTCATATGAAATATGACCACATACCAGGGCCACCAAGGGACAGGTAAGCAAAGCAAGTCAAGTTGTGTTTGTTGCTGTTCTTTGCAAACATTTTTTTTTTCAATTTTCTTTCTCACACAGCTTCTTTTTTGGCCATTTACCAACACTCCTGAAGATAATGAAAAAAGATGGCTTAGTGCATGACAAATTCCTAGAATGGTAAGCACAGTGAATCGACACAACATTTTTTTGTGCTCTCAGATCTTAAGTGAATGTGTGCATTATAATCTAGATTTATTATTCCCAGTTTAAAATAATTATAAACGTGTTATTTTCAGGTCTGAGACTTATGGACATGTTTTTAGGATAAACTTTCTGCACTCTGTCAGTATATGCATCACGTGTCCAGAAGCAACAAAGGTAAATATATCTAAGAGCTGCAAGAGAAACAGTGTGAGAGGGAATGCACCTTTAATTTGTGTCTGCAGACGAAGACCCTGCTATTATAACACATTAAGTGTTTAAATCTTAATTTTATATTTAATTGGTTCTTGTTTCAGGAAATCCTAATGTCCCCAAAGTACACCAAGTCTAAAAATGTCTACAAAAAACTCTTTAATCTGTTTGGTCAAAGGTAGTGTCTGGATTGTTCTTACCTTTTTATTTAACATGAACAGCCTAGTTTTTAAGGAAGTCTTGTTGTGATACTAATCTCTCAACTTTCACAGGTTTTTTGGGAATGGCTTGTTAACAGCTCGGGATCATGAGATGTGGTACAAACAGCGCCGGATAATGGACCCTGCCTTTAGTAGCTTGTGAGTCATCAGTCTCCATTTATTATATGAGGTTTGAATAATTGCTGGCAGAACTGATCCAAGATAAAACATAACTAAGCATTTATTAATAATCCTCAACCAAAAAAGAAGCACTTAAGAGAACTCTTAGAGCTTAGCATAGAAAATATAGTCTTTGTCCATCCCCACATCCTGATACTGCCACTACTATGCTTCAGATTATGCAAAGGGTGTTCAGGTGGATTGACAGAACAAGTTCAGTTATCATCTATATAACCAGAGCACATGACTCTGGATGTTTCCTTCAGTAGATTTATTGTGGTTCTCCTTTGTTTAAAGATTTAGAAAAATGTTTTGATTTATTATAACGTTACTATGGGCTGCTTATGTTGGTTTTTCTTAGGGTCAGAAACCTTTACAATCCAAAGAGTCTGTTTTTCATCCTCTTTTTTCACGAGTTACAGAAAGAAATATAGAAAAGGTACAAAAGTTTTCATACATTTACATCCATCATTTACAATGGAGGTCATGTCTCACACATTGAACACATAAAGTCAGTGGCATCGTCGTTTAAAGTGAGGTTACTGAAATATGGCTCAGCTTCTGTGAGGACTGCTGTATTCCAACACAAACCAGGGTGAATTACAAAAATGACAAACCCTGGTTCACTGGCAAACTCAGAAGACTTAGGTTGGACAAGGAAGAGGCCTTCAGAAGCGGAGATAAATGCAGATTCCAAGATGCAAAATACCAGTTTAGCAAGGCGGTGAAACAGGCTAAACGACTGTACTCTGAGGCCCCGTCCACACGAAGCCGAACCCTGGCCTGAACGCACAAATTTTTCACCAAACCAGCCTCTCATCCATACGAATCCGGCGTTTCGGGGGTCTGTAAACGATTTTTTTTTATTAAGCCTTCAGAGTGGGAAGATTTTGAAACGCC